TGGCTGCTGCAGCTCGTCTTCAGTCACTCAGTGAAGATTCTTGTGCTGTGGTGGCAGCTGCTGCTGGAGCAATGCTTTAAAGAAATCTGCATTGCCAATCAGAAGCCTTGCTGGTCAAACCCCCCCCCCCCAAACACTTGGTGGGCACCAGGAAAAGTGTTGGCATCATGCCGGGGACCCCTGGTTTAGGGCCTCAGATTGAGGGAATTTCTAAAATAACAAAAAAATTTACTAATTTGCCAGTTTGGGGAAAAATTTTATAGGGACTTGTAAACCTGACAATTGTTAGTTGATATGAAGACCAGCTATTTGGCTTATGTTGGCACGATTCTTCTGCCAGGTACTCTACACCAGTGTTCCCTCTAAGCTGAGTTAGGGTTGAGCTAGCTCACATTTTTTTAGCCTCTGGCTCACACATTTTTGTCTTAGCTCAGGAAGGAGGGCTCCAGAGCAAACTAATTTATCCAGTAGCCAAATCGCTCGCTCACAACTGTAATGCCAGTAGCTCACAAAGTAGAATTTTTGCTCACAGGGCTCCACAGCTTAGAGGGAACATTGCTCTACACCGCTCTTTTTCTTCTCAGCAAGGCAGTAATGGCTGCTTGTTACAAATTGTTGCTTACTGGGGAAATGTGTTTTTGGTCATATGCTAAACAGCCATGTGTACTGGCTTTCCCCCCTTCCCAAAGTTTTTAAACTGTCATCTGGACGAGCAGAAGTTGAGTCTCTGTGTCCCAAACTGGAAGAAGAGATTTCTGTCTTATTTTCTCTTTCCGTAGTCCTAATAATTTTGTCCGGTGACTTCTGAATTGTAGAAAGGTCTGGTATTAAAAATGTGTTTATCTGTGGTCAGGTCTTGATGATACAGTCATAAAGGAGGGTTGGGGGCCTCCGCATGTCTTCAAAACATTAAGAAGAGCCCTGCTGGATCAGACCAGGGAGGGTCCCTCTAGTCCAGCATCCTGTCCCACGCAGGGGCCAGCCAGTCCCTCTGGAGGGCCAGCAAGAGGGCAGAGAGGCCGAGAACTTCCCCTGATAAGAGCATCAGAAGAGCCCTGCTGGGTCAGACCAGGGAGGGTCCATCTAGTCCAGCATCCCGTCCTACACGGTGGCCAACCAGTTCCTCTGGAGGGCCAACAGCAGGGCAGAGAGGCCGAGGCCTTCCCCTGATAAGAGCATCAGAAGAGCCCTGCTGGGTCAGACCAGGGAGGGTCCCTCTAGTCCAGCCTCCCGTCCTACACGGTGGCCAACCAGTTCCTCTGGAGGGCCAACAGCAGGGCAGAGAGGCCGAGGCCTTCCCCTGATAAGAGCATCAGAAGAGCCCTGCTGGGTCAGACCAGGGAGGGCCCCTCTAGTCCAGCCTCCCGTCCTACACGGGGGCCAACCAGTTCCTCTGGAGGGCCAACAGCAGGGCAGAGAGGCCGAGGCCTTCCCCTGATAAGAGCATCAGAAGAGCCCTGCTGGGTCAGACCAGGGAGGGTCCCCCTAGTCCAGCCTCCCGTCCTACACGGTGGCCAACCAGTTCCTCTGGAGGGCCAACAGCAGGGCAGAGAGGCCGAGGCCTTCCCCTGATAAGAGCATCAGAAGAGCCCTGCTGGGTCAGACCAGGGAGGGTCCCTCTAGTCCAGCCTCCCGTCCTACACGGTGGCCAACCAGTTCCTCTGGAGGGCCAACAGCAGGGCAGGGAGGCCGAGGCCTTCCCCTGATAAGAGCATCAGAAGAGCCCC